ATGGACTTGAAAGATGGGTTCTGAAGGGAGGAGAAAAAGTGAGAAGGGGGTTGGGGGGAAAGCAGTTGGGGAATGTTTGAACCATTGCGCACATACACACAACTAAATGGATATATAAAGTGATTAAAGCTCGGTGAAAATGCTTTGGTGAAATTTTTTTGAACGGAAAAAAATTTTTTTTTGCTTTGATTTACTCTCTGCTTATTTAAGCTTATTCTCTGCAAATAATTTCTTTTTCTTCTTCTTCCTCTTCTTCTTCTTCTTTTTTACTTCTTTTTCTTCTTCTTTTATACTTCTTTTTCTTCTTCTTTTATACTTCTTTTTCTTCTTTTTTTTCTTTTTCTTTTTCTTCTTCTTCTTCTTCTTCTTCGTCTGCTTCCTCTCTTGCACTTTCAAATTGCTTTTTGCTAAAAAAAAAAAAGAAGTTGTTGCTGTTTTTGTTGTTACTGCTGCTGTTACTGCTGTTGCTTATTTGTTTGCTTGTTTTTGTTTATTTATTTATTTTGTTCATTTGTTTGTTTGTTTTTCAAATGCTACTTTTATCTTCAGCTTTTATGAGAGAAGAAAGGAAGAAAGATACTATATTATTATAAATAATTCTGTTCAAAGGAGTGTAAAGCTACACAAGAGGAAATGAGGGTTAGAAAAATCCATAATCAGGTCCCCACAGTACCGAGAATTGCACTTATTATTTTTAAGATTCTTTCTTGACTCACCCTTCGTAATTATTTTGCTTTTTGTTTATTTTACCACATTTTTCTTCCTTTTGTCTTTTTTATGTTCATCTTATCGCCGCTTTGGATATTTGGTGTAGCAAGAAGATCGCCAAGAAATGCACCATAGCTTACAAATAGTGATAGGTAAAGCTGGTTATCTTTACTGGTTACCGTCCTTGTAAGCAACTGCTCAAATTTACTCTTTTGTAAAAAAAAAGTAAAAACAGTAGGCAGGAGAAAAAGAAGAAGAATAACAAGAAGCAAGAAAGGAAAAAGTAAAAATGACAAAAACAAAAAGAAATGGAGAAAATTGTTCAACAATTCTTTTTTTTCTCACCCATCCAATTTTACGACCAAACGGTATACCATTTTAGTGCCCGATTTCCGGCATAATCATTGAAGATATCTTTTTCCGACTGTTTGTTATTTATTTGTTCATTCTTTCATTTTGCTTGAAATTGTATGTACAGTGGTCTCTAAACATTTATCCATCGTTCTGTCTGTCAGTTCCTTCGTTTGTTTGGTTGTTATTCAGCTCGTCTTGTTTACGCCTGCATTCAATTGGTAAGCTCCCGAAGTGGTAGAGGGAACACAGCTGTTCTGCTCCTATTTTTTTTTTTTTTTGCAGTTTTCGTTTGTTGAAACATACAGATACACTGAACACACATAATCGTAGGAACAATTGGACGGATATTAATCAGACAAACGGATTTATATCAGCAGACTAACACACACATAACAAACACGCTGAGAAGTTTCTGAAGCATTGTTTCTGGATGACATTTACGCAGAAGTCAATAACTCGAAAAGTATTTTTTGTGTTTCCTAAAGGCTTTTTTGAATACTAACCGAAACCAGCTAACCGTGTCAGGTATGGTTTAAACAAAAAAGATAGACAGGGCCTAAAGAGTTAGCGTAGCTAAGGCCAAATTGTAGAGATTATGGTGAAACTAATGACTGAAAGCTCCCGAAAAAAGCCATATAGTAACAAAATTGGGTCGTTATCTTTGCGCTCCTCCCTTCTCCCGTATTCCTTTTCGTTGTATTCCTCCGCTAACCAAAATTACTTGTGTCTGATGCTTCGCTTGGTTGCTCGAACTAAAAATGTGAAAAGGTAATGGACAAAAAATAGAAATCATTTTGTTGCGGAAAAAAACTAAACTTATTTGCCAACATACTGTTGCTATGGAAGTTGCATCCAAATTCATTTCTGTTTCTTTATTTGATCTTTATACTTCTC